TTTTTTAAACCTTAAAAACTAAGTTTCAGAGAAAGACCTGAAGCATACATGTAATTTTTTTTGCAAAAATCTGTTTATCTATTCCTGGCATCTTTTTAGGAAAATATTTAGTTACACAAAATATAATTTATCTTAATACTGTTATTTTCAAAGGCCATTAAGTACTAGACACATGTGCATAAACATACACATTTGTATTTGTTAGGGATAATCAAGTGGTTCTTGTAAGCTAACTTTATCAGACCCGATTGCTTTCTTTAAAACCAAAAGAAACTATAGAAGTACACCTATCTAAGTATGCAACCATCACTCTGTAGCCCAAAAGTATAAACTGTTGAGATATGTTAATCTTTTTCCACTACTCTGATATTAGAAAAATGCTACAGTATTTATTTCTTCTGTGTGCTATTGTTATTTGTGAGGTGGCTTAGCTTTAGAAAAAGTTTTTGGAACCTGATACTCAATAACCATAATTTGATTTTAAAATCATTGGTTAACTTGGGAATTGTAACCATAGCAAGTGGCAAACTTCCAGTTTTCAACACTCTAGACACCAAAATATGCCCAATGATTGCCCACTAGAGAAAAAATAAGCAGATGGTAGTTGAGCTAGCCCTCACCACTGAGAAAGAGCAGTGACCACTAGATGAAGGCTGAACTTGACAGAACCTACTTAGTCTGCTGAGTAAGTTGTTATAGGAAAATATAGGAGGGCAAGGATGAACATTGTGCTGAAACAGACCTATTGTTTTCCAACTGCATTAAAAATCTCTTTTCTCTAAGAGTTAATAGCATCTTTTTCACTCCTGTAAACTCTATTACTTATATTCAGGTTACCAGCAATGCTACATTGATTGTTTTATTGTTATGTACAGCTTAAAACATCTGCTCATACAGTCAAGGTTACAGACAGAAAGAATTACTTTGATAGGAGTACTTAAGCTGGATTTCCCACTCATGAAACAACAGTGAAAAAGCTAGTAAGCTTGGAGTTTGCTATTATATTCTTCTATAATATTGCGATTAATGTTTTATGTGAAACTGCTTTGCAATGGCTATTTGCTTTTTATGTTCTAAACTGAAAAGGGAGAATGTAAGGTTAATAAAAAAATATTCAATTTCTTTGATTCCAAAGCTAACTAGTCTTCATTTTGGAGGCCCTCCACAAAACTCATTCTGCTCTTCTTATGAAAAATGTTTCTTACAAAGCCATAATAGCAAGAAACACTCCCCCAAACAGCCATCTGATACGCTCTCAAACCATCAAACAATCTTTCTTTAATCACAAAGATTAAATATTCAATTTTTAACCGCTTATAAAATTCAAGGAGCTTGCCTTATATCATAAAAAAAAAATTAAAAGCATTCAAAATAAACCAAATCAAGAAGGACTCTGATCCTGAAATATATGGGACTATATACCATATTTAGTCAAATATAAGATGACCTCCCCCACTCCCCCCCAAGATTAGATTCTATATATGGGAAATTTATAAGGAAATAAGGACATAAGTAAAAACTTCTTTACTGTCTGAGTCTCCAGAGTCTGGAATAGATTCCCCCCCTGAAGTGGTGCAAGCACCTACTCTGGACACGTTCAAGAAGCATTTGGATGAATATCTTCTGGGGTCATTTGGCAATGGCAAGGATATCGGAGAACTCATGGTACTCAGGAGAGGTTCCTGAAGATTGGAAAAGGGCCAATGGGGTGCCTTCAAGAAAGGAAGGAAGGAAGATCTGGACAACTACAGGCCAATCAGTTTGAACTCAATCCCTGGAAAGATCATGGAAAAAATTATCAAAGAATCCATCAACAACAGGCTAACAGAAGGTATCATTCTGAGAGACAGCCAACATGGCTTCATTGTGGGTAGGCTGTGCCTGACTAACCTCATCTCCTTCTATGACCAGGTGACACATCACCTGGACAGGGGAGGAGATGATGTAATTTACTTGGATTTAAAAAAAACCCTTTGATTTGTTCTCCCATGATGTCCTCATAACAAAATTGGGGAACGGCGGCCTCAACAACCTTACAATCCGATGGCTGGGGAACTGTCTCTGTGACCAGACCCAGGGAGTTACAGTGGATGGAACCAAGTCAACATGGCGCATAGTGACCAATGGCATCCCTCAGAGTTCAGTACTCGGACCAGTACTCTTTAATATATTCAGAAACAACTTTGACTTGGGTGTTAGAAGCAGACTGGCTAAGTTTATAGATGACTCCAAATTATGGAGAAGTGAGATCACACTAGAGGATAGGCTGGGGATTCAGGGCTACTTGGACAGGCTTGCAAAGTGGGTGGATCAGAACCTGATGAATTTCAATGTAGAGAAATGCAAGGTGCTCCACCTTGGGAGAAAGAACCCACATCATACCTATAGGTTTGGCAGTGTGTGTGTGTGTGTGTGTGTGTGTGTGTGTGTGTGTGTGTGTGTGTGTGTGTGTGTGTGTGTGTGTGTGTGTG